TCACAGGGTGTCTGTTGTGGGGAGGGGAAGGGAAAGGAGTTTGTAAGCCGCTCTGAGACTTCAAGTGAAGGGCAGGGTAAAAATCCAATCTCTTCTTCTTCTTGACATAAATCCATGCATGGTTCACACCTGGATTCCTGGCAGGTGTTCACCGCTCTCATTTTTCTTTCTGTAGAGCAGGAGTTCCCAGCCTGGAATGTGTGTGTGGGGGGGGGGGGGGGCTGCAGTTCCACATACACATTAAGCATCCTTTTAATCTGTAAGGACCCAGGTTCAATCCCCAGCATCTCCAGTTAAAAGGATCAGGCATTAGGGGAGGTGAAAGACCTCTGCCTGAGACCCTGGAGAGCCACAGTCAGACTGAGTAGACAATGCTGACTTTAGTGGACCCAGGGTCTGGTTCAGAAGTATAAGGCAGCTTCATGTGTTTGCCATAAGGGGAGGGACTGTAGCTCAGTGGCAGAAGGTCCCAGGTTCAGTCCCCGGCAGCATCTCTAGTTAAAAAGCTCAGACAACAGGTGATGTCGAAGACCTCCACCTGAGACCCTGGAGAGCTGCTGCCAGTTTGAGTAGACTGTACAGACCTTGATGGACCGAGGATCTGATTCATCGTGAGACAGCTTCACATGTGAGACGCCTGAAATCCGGACCGTTTTTAATGTTTGCTTGTTTCTTAAAATGCGTCCTACATTTTGAAAACAAGGCCGCTCAGCACCTGATAAGATCACAATATGGGACAGGAATGTCCTCTAAAGAATGCCTTAAAAAAAAAACAACAACAACGGTGAGCCGCAGAGCCAGATTAGCAGCAGACTGGCCAAAGGGGAAAATTATCTGTGACAAATATCGATTGCCAGACGTTGTTAGGAATAAAGCGACCTCCCCCTGGAGGCCAGCTAGAGGGGGGCAGAGTGAATTTTCGGTGGTGGGGAGGCGGGGATGGGGGAAGGCACCGGAATATTGCCGTCTCTGCCAACCTCGGTGTTTCTTCCCTCCTTCGCCCAGAATCGACCTTGCGGTGCTGTTAGGAAAGACCCCTTCTTCTCTGGAGAACGAGTCTCCCAGCCTGGACTCCTCGCAGGCCCCGACTCTCAGCCAGCCGCTGGTGTTCAGCAATTCCAAGCAGACCACCGTATCCCAGCCCACTTCGGGGAACACCTTCCCTCACCACGGCATGGTGAGTAAACGTGCACTTTTCTGCTAGATTGCAGGGCTGGGAGGGCGCGGCCACGTCCATGGGGGTGTGGCCACGGCCACATTGGGCCTGTCCTGTCCTCTCAGCCAGAGGTGTCAAACTTATTTGTCATGAGGGCCGGATCTGACATAAATGTCACTTTGTCGGGCTGGGCCATGTGCGCCATAAAACGTAATGCCAGGTACCGGAGATATAAACTGTATAAAGGGACAGCAGCTGGTAAGATCCGAGTTGGCGTATCCCCACTGCAAGACCCCATGGGCTGAGGGGGGAGTGCAGAGGAAAACCCACATGGGCAGACTGGAGAGGCAGCAGTGCAGTGCTGGGCGGATGCTCCCACGATGCTTGACTGCTGCAGACGAGGTTGTTCTGCCGTGCTGAAGATACAGTGGAGAGGCTCCACCCACTCCCCCCCCCCAGCACTCCCTTGCATCAGTTGCTCGCGGGCCGCACAAGAGCCCTGGATGGGCCAGTTCCTGCCCCCGGGCCTTATGTTCGGCACCCCTGCTCTAAGCTGTTGGCTTGCCTTCACAGTGAATTACGATGCCAAGTCTGACGCTAATCCATGGGGGCTCCTTTCTCTTGTGGAGCAAAACGAGTAGTGACCAGAGTCCAGTTCTGGGCGCTTAAACGCTGTCACCTCTTGGACATCTTTGCCAAAGGGGGTGCCTGGATCATCCCATATTAGACAGATGTCATAATGTAGCTGTTGGAGATCAGTGCCCTTTTCAAACTGGGGTTGGGCGTGAGATGCTTTGTTCTGTTTCACAGAGCCAGTTTGGTGTGGTGCTTAGGAGCGCGGACTCTAATCTGGGAGAACCGGGTTTGATTCCTCACTCCTCCACATGCAGCTGCCGGTGTGACCTTGGGTCAGTCACAAGTTCTCTCAGAGCTGTTCTCTCAGTGGCAGTCCTCGAAAGAGCCTTCTCAGCCCTCACCTACCTCACGGGGTGTCTGTCGTGGGAATGGGAAGGGGAAAGGGATTGTAAGCCACTCAGACTCCTTTGGGTAGCGAAAGGGGGGGTATAAATCCAATCTCTTCTTCTTCTCTTCGTCTGTGCTTTCCCTTCCCCGACTGCTGCCCTTTGTCGCAGGGGCCCTCAAGGGGAACACACTGCGTAGGCGTTCATCTTTATACCCTGCCTTTCTGCTTCTAAGGCAGCTGAAGGCGAATCCAATCAGATTCTAAAAACGAGCAGCCTTCATCCACAAAAGAGCTAGGCAGGCATCTTGGCATGGGTGACTCCTGCCAATCAGCTGGGGAGGCGGGTCTTAATTCCAGATTTCCTGTCTACAGGGGTGGCGCTCGGGGCACCCTGCTCCTCAGTTCATTTCCTGCCTAGAAGAAGGCCGCAGGCTTCTGGTGGGAGCCTTTCAGCCGAGTTCCTCTCTCAGGGGAGAAGAGCGCTCTGTGCTTCCGCCTCCGTGCCCCTCTGCAGCCCACCCACCCCCCTCTTCTGTTTGTGCGGTTTCAGGTGAGCATGCTGGGGAAGGGGTTCAGCGATGTCGGCGAGGCGAAAGGCACCCCCGCCACCCCCACCACGGGCTCGCAGTTCCTCGAGCAGTTCAAGACGGCTCAGGCTTTGGCCCAGCTGGCGGCCCAGCACCCCCAGCCCGCTGGGAGCAGCACCGCAGCCGCCTCCTGGGACATCGGCGCCACCACCCAGCCCTCCTCTCTTGTGCAGTACGGTAAGGCGCTCCGCTCTGGGGTGGCCGAGCCCACAGCTCCTGTTTTGTAGGCAGACAAGGGTGTTGCAGCATAGGCTCTCCTTAGCATGAGTCCACAGTAAACAGGGATCATGCCCACAGTCTGGGCTTGTGGGACTGCTGTGCTTTGTGACATAAGAACTTCAGAAGAGCCCTGCTGGGTCAGACCAGTGAAGGTCCATCTAGTCCAGCATCCCGTTTCACACAGGGGCCTCAACCAGTTCCTCTGGAAGGGCCAACAACAGGGCAGAGGGGCCGAGGCCTTTCCCTCATAAGGACATCAGAAGAGCCCTGCTGGGTCAGACCAGTGAGGGTCCATCTAGTCCAGCATCCTGTCTCACCCAAAGGCCTCAACCAGTTCCTCTGGAAGGGCCAACAACAGGGCAGAGGGGCCAAGGCCTTCCCCTCATAAGGACATCAGAAGAGCCCTGCTGGGTCAGACCAGTGAGGGTCCATCTAGTCCAGCATCCTGTCTCACACCGTGGCCTCAGCCAGTTCCTCTGGAGGGCCAACAACAGGGCATAGAGGCTGAGGCCTTCCCCTCAGAAGACCATCAGAAGAGCCCTGCTGGATTGGACCAGTGAGGGTCCCTCCAGTCCAGCATTCTGCCTGACGCAATGCCCAGCCAGTTCTTCTGTATGGCCAGCAACAGGGCATGGAGGACGAGGCCTTCCCCTGGTGTTGGCTTCCGGATCTGGCATTTAGAGGCTTAGTGCCTCTGAATGTGGAGATTCCCCTCAGTCACCATGGCTAGATAACATAAGAAGAGCCTTAAGGACATTTGAAGGCATACTCTTTCATGTAGGAGGTTCCATGCCTGGGGAGGAATTAGGGTATTAGAGAGAAGAGGGTCTAGCATTCCTTTTCCCGGATAGGCACATTTATGTACTTTATTTACGGTCTGTCTTTGTCATTGATGCTCAAGGCAGATTACGCAGTGTAAGTTGATTCAGTCAGCGTGATGAGACATGTGATAAGCAATTTACTCAGAGTAGGAGTACAGGAATCTGAGTCCTGCATTGTGGAAGGTCTGCCTAAGGCTTTGGTTGTTCCTCAAAACATGCAAAACAGAACGGTTAAAGGGGTCTTTCTTGCTGGAGCTGTGGTGTAACGGTTCAGCTCAGGAGGTGACTTTTCCCTACAAAAAAACTACAGTGATTGTCCGGTTGCCTTAAAGTTTTGTACGCATTTGCCTCCCCCATTCTATAATTCCATCCCAACTATATAAATGAGCACTAGACTATAGAATGAATGCAAAAAATATAGTGTTGCATCAGTAGGAAACAATTCATTGACAACAAGATAAATACATGGAGCAAACTGCAGACTGGAAAGTCGGTAGTTTAGCAGTTCGAGACCTGAGTGCTGCAAGACGGAGTGAGCTCCCGCCAGCCTTACAGTTCGAGAGCAAGAAATTGCAAGTAGATAAATAGGTTAAGACGCTGTACTGCAGGCTGTGGAAGGTCGGTAGTTCAGCAGTTCGAGACCCGAGTGTGCCGCAAGACGGGGTGAGCTCCTGTCTCTAGTTCCAGCTCCTGCCAACCTAGCAGTTCGAAAGCAAGAAATTGCAAGTAGATAAATAGGTACCACTTCGGTGGGAAGGTAACAGCGTTCCGTGCGCCTTGGTGTTTAGTCATGCCGGCCACATGACCACGGAAACGTCTTCAGACAGCGCTGGCTCTTCGGCTTGGAAACGGAGATGAGCACCGCAACCCTAGAGTCGGATTCGACTGGCTTTCGAGCAAGGGAACCTTTACCTTTAAATAGGTACCACTTTGGTGGGAAGGTAACAGCGTTCCGTGCGCCTCGGCGTCTAGTCATGCCGGCCACATGACCATGGAAACGTCTCTGGACAGCGCTGGCTCTTCGGCTTGGAAACGGAGATGAGCACTGCGTCCCTAGAGTCTGATTCGACTGGCTCTCGAGCAAGGGAAACCTTTACCTTTACTATACACAGTGGTATAGTCCACAGTTCCTTTTCCTTTATAACGCACGTGAACACATGCAGCTGTCTTGCACTGAAATAGGACTGGCAGTGGCTCTCCAGCGTCTCAGGCAGAGGTCTTGCACGTCACCTACTGCCTAGTCCTTTTTAAGTTGGAGATACTGGGGATTGAACCCAGGACCTTCTGCATGGCAAGCAGGTGCTCTCCCACTGAGCCAGAGCCCCTTTCTTCAGCACCTGAAGAACCATCCTGTTACAAGCTGGGGTAGCCGTGTCAGTCTATCTGTAGCGGTAGAAAAGAGCAAGAGTCCAGCAGCACCTTAAAGACTAACAAAATTGTGGCAGGGGAGGAGCTTTCATGAGTCGCTGCTCAGAGTGTATGAAATAGCGAGCAGTGGCTCACAACAGCTCATCTCCTCCCACAAATTTTGTTAGTCTCTAAGGTGCGTTCCGCATTCACAGCTTTCCGGATTCAGAGCAGCTCATACTCCGCCACAAATATTGTTAGGTGCCACTGGAGTCTTAACTCTTTTCGATTCCAACACTGTCTTAGTGTTCATGCATCATAAAGCCCGAACTGGACTTGGCTCTCCAGGGTTCTCTTCCCTCGCTCCAGATTTTTGAACGGGCTCCGGGCATTTTATTGGATAGCGACGGCTTCATTCCTTCCAGTCAACGTGGCTTCGTGAGACGGGTGCAGTTGTCCTTAATGTGTGAGGATCTGTTGGTTCCTCGTCAGCAGAAGAAGGCCTTAGCATGCCGCATACCAGTAGACCCTCTTTGGCTCACTCATAGCCATAGAGGGGGGACAGCGTATGCCACAGCAAGTACCGAGTTCACCGGCAGAGCGGGTCCTGCTGGTTCACAGCTGGCCACCCACCTGGGGCACTCGTAACAAACCAGCTCTTTTTGAGGCCACGTTCCCCTGTGATTAAAAGACCCGAAAAGCTGTGCAGCCACTTAAAAGTTTGCGTTGAGTAAAGGCAGTGGTTTCAGCCATCTTTCACTGGCACGTAGGAGTGTCTGCCCTCGCTCACGCACCCTCCCATCGTCCAAAATGTGCAAGCCGAAGACACGGGGACTCCCGGTAGGTGCAGAATCTAAAAGCGCTTCCTAAGGGAAGGCTAGGTGAAGCAGAGTGTGATGAATGGAGTGTGCGTTCGACTTCATTGCAGTAGATTTCAGTGTAAGGGTTTTTTTTTGCAGCATCACCCTAACCACAGAGGTGCCATGAGTCAGACGCTACTTAACGGCGCTTATCTAAGACGCATGCCTGTAAGCATAGTTACCCACTTCTAAGCCCATTGTTTAGGATGGCCCTGTGAGTGGTTCCCCCTCCCCCACTGGGACATTCCCTCAAGCTCTGACAATTCTTGCATAAAAAAGGAAAAGACCCTCTTTCCAATCTACGTTGGTGGTTTTCCTGTACTTGTAGCTGTGCAGTGCTCCAGATGTGCTGGTATGATTCCAAGCTTTCATTTATCTAAAGCGTTTTTATGTTGTCCCTCCAGCAGGCTCACAATTAAAGCAACACCGTTCTCTGCTAGCACACAGGAGGTGGGGAGGAATTTTTGCTAGCAACCCATAAGAACACAAGAGAAGCCAATGTTGGATGAGGCCAATGGCCCATCCAGTCCAACACTCTGTGTCACACAGTGGCCAAAAATACCAGGTGCCACCAGGAGGTCCAGCAGTGGGGCCAGGGCAGCAGAAGCCCTCCCACTGTTGCCCCTCCTCCCAATCACCAAGAATACACAGCATCCCTTGCCCCTGACTGAGAGTTCCTACCTAAAGGTAAAGGTTTCCCTTGCTCGAAAGCCAGTCGAATCCGACTCTAGGGTTGCGGTGCTCATCTCCGTTTCCAAGCCGAAGAGCCAGCGCTGTCCGAAGACGTTTCTGTGGTCACGTGGCCGTCATGACTAAACACCAAGGCACACGGAACGCTGTTACCTTCCCACTGAAGTGGTACCTATTTATCTACTTGCAATTTCTTGCTTTTGAACTGCTAGGTTGGCAGGAGCTGGAACTAGAGATGGGAGCTCACTCCGTCACGCGGCACATTCGGGTCTCGAACGGCTGAACTACCGACCTTCCACAGCCTGCAGTTCAGCGTCTTAACCACTCGAGCCACCGCAGCTCCTTACTCCTACCTATGCCTTGTGGCTCATAGCCACTGATGGACCTCTGCTCCATGTGTTTATCCCACTCCCCTCTTGAAGCCGTCCATGCTTGTAGCCGCCTCCTCCTCCTGTGGCAGTGAATTCCGTGTGTTAATCCCCCCCACCCCCCCCCCCACCCCCCACCCATACTCTTGGGGGGGGGGGGT